ATGTTTTCACCTCACAGCATGCTCTAGCTGCGATCCATAAGCTCATTGAGCCTGTTGGCCAAGGCCCCATGAGAATCAAGCAGCTCGCCTTTCCAGCACACTGCACAGCGAGACCACTTGAAGTAAGCACCTTCTAGGTACCTGTACACATTGGTCGTCCTGCGACCACACTTTGTCTTATAGTTCGACATGTCACCTTGAACACGGTGCAACATCCTAGACTTGACGTGCTGCCAACATGGCTCGTCGATCTCATAAGGCTGACTAACTCCGCTCATGGCCACCAGCTGCTCCTCAGTCCCACTGGCCTCAGAGGAGCTCGTGGGCGAGGAAGAGGAGGAATTCGACGGCTGCGGCTCGTCTTCAACCACTGCTCGCTCGACCCAAGAGGAGAAGGCGGGCCTGGAGAAAGATCAGCATCTCCACAGGAGGTACGGTTGTGCCAGCAGTAATGCTCCGTCTCTCCCAGATCCGCAAGCTTGCTACCACTACCAGCTGACGCGTCCAAAGACGCGGGATCACTGACAGCGGGTCGGTCAGCGGCAGTTGAAGAATTCAAGATAGGCTTGAGGGGCCTGTCGGCGACAGAACCACTGCACACCTGTCCATGGCCCCCAGTAGGCAAGTCATTCCCTTGAAATGTCAGCCAACCCGATCGTGTGTTGTCGGGCTTGAAGACATAGTTGCGAATCTCCTGTAGCATGCTCCTGTAAACTCGTAGCAGTACACTGAGCAGCTCTCGGTTGTAGTAAGCTAAAGAGCTGGAGCCCGTGGCGTGGTGTCCCAGCAAGAGACCTTCACGTCCCCCGAAACCTCTCTTCCCGATCCAGGTCATGGTTGTGCACTTGAGCACATGCGAAAACCGGCGCCGGACACCCTCAAGCCCCAGGGCGCTGCAAAGCATAGCGACTGCTTCACTGGAAGAGCGTCGCCTAAGTCCCAGATAGCCTCCATTATTCGGGGCTCGCACTAGCGGCCCGGAAGGCACTGCAGACCAGTCGACGCCCAACCTCTTTGCAGTTTGCCACCACGAATCTACCCAGCTGGCCTCAGACACGCCTGGGAAAGGTGCGACAAGCGGCATAGCCCGGCGCTTGGCACACACTGTATCGTTGGTCGTGTGCTCCGTGGTCCTAGTCTCGACGAAGCCCGAGCGGCAATCTTCACCGACGAAGTCAATCCAAATCGAGTGTACGCTCTTCAAGTCAGACCAACTCGACCTGCTGTAAAGGGCGAAAGGTTCGCCCCCAAGGACATATGCGTCCACGTCACACAAGGTCTGGCCTGCGACCAATCTTTCCCAGCGTGCCACACGCTCGACTTCCAGTGCCTCCTGCTGCTTGACCTCGGGCTTCTCGCCTTGAAGTCTTCTGGCTCGACCCTGCAAACGTCGATCACGAAGAACCCCGTCACAGTCCGTTGGTCCTATCGCCGTCCTGGGTGAGCGAAGACCAAAGACATCTCCGATCAGCTCGCCTGTTGCGCCCTCTCCTTTGGCCACCAAACATTGTGCAGCCTGCGTCTCCACAGGACAAGGGTCATCTTGGGCGAGGCTGTAGATGCAACATCGCTTAATGATAGCAAGAACCCAAAGATGATCTTCTTCCTCCTGTACGGGAACATCCGCACGGGCAAGGAAAGATCCCTCGTGTAGGTTCACCGGTGCAGCACTTACTCGGGGTGGCTTTGCCACGGTTGGAGCATCTTTCCCTGCAACAACATGCGATCGAGGTCGTCGTCGGCCTGCAGCAAAAATGCGATCGAGCTCGTCGTCGCAAGGACTCTCCTCCACATTCCCCCCATTCCCCCCAAAAGAAGAGGAGAGGCCGGGGGCATCTGCAGAGAACGGCATAATTTCGCGCTGGCACGGAGAAGCTTCCTTCAGCACAACTGGGCTGCAAGTCCTCGCAACTTCTGACTGAATTGCTCCAGCCAGGTGAGCCGTCTGTTGTTGGCTTGGATCTGATTCTCGGCAGAGTGAAGGCGTTCCTCCAAGTGCAGCACTCTTGCTTGCAAAGTAGCCAAATTATCCCTAGTCTCGTAGACGTAAAAGCTCAAGGGAGTGCTAGGCCCAGAGGAAGCACTGCGGGAGGAACGCACCTCGTCCATCCGCCTGCTCCGGGGAGCAAGCTTGCACGGAGCCCTAGTGGCAGCTGGTGTTACAGGGCTCAGCAAAGGGGCCTCTAGATGCACTTAGGAGCCCTTAGAGCACCCGACAAAAACAAAGATGCAAGTGAGCTGCACCCAGCCGAAAAGCTGCAATATAAAGATTGCACAATGAAGCAACCGAACAGAAATTCGGCAGCACAGACACGGTTTAGTTTGGGAAATAAAATGCTGTCTCGCAAGCGAGAAGGCTTATTTATTTCCAACTAAACAAGTAAAGGTAACACAACACATGTGAGCACACGCGCTGCAATCGGACTCTTCTTTTTCAACCA